CACAACATAATATGTTACTCCATTCCCTCTAAAAGTTTATTATCTCGGGGCAAAAATGACACAAATAATCCTTGAACTTTAGTTGAATGTATAAAGTGATCTCTGAACTTTTAATTTGTTCAATATGATCCTCGAACTTTAGCTTAATGTGCAATGTCGTCCCTAAACTTTTAAATTGTTCAATGTGGTCCTCGGATAAATGAAAATGTTCAATATTGTCCATGAACTATAATGTTCAATATTGTCCCTGAACTTGAATTAATGAAATGACAACATTGAACATTTTCATATAGTTTAAGGACCAAACTGAACATGTACCAAAAGTTCAGGGATCACATTGAACAAATTAAAAGTTTAGAGATCATATTGCACATTGGACTAAAGTTTAGAGATTACATTAAACAAATTAAAAGTCAAGGACCGCATTGCATATTGAATCAAAGTTCATGAATCATTTGTGTCATTATCTCTATCTCGGTAATAAAAGCTTCTAACACTAAATTATTATATATGATGAAAACATTACCATCACAATTAAAAGTTTACTATCTTAGTATACTATCGGTATTTACTTGTTCATAGAAGGGACTATCTTCTCCTCCTGAAATATTATCCGTGCCGAGAAGCCTATCTCCATCAATTTCGTACATCTGACATCTGTCACAACCATTCTAAGGCTTTGGTATTCGTTAAGTTTTTCTCATTGGCCCTTTCTTTTTCTTTTTCTTTCAGCGGGGCCTTTTATGCCTGGTCTATGCTTTTCTTTAGACCGATGCCCTTTCTTTTTTCATGGATAAGCAAGGATTCCAAGTTTCAAAAACAATAGTTGGATTGCACCATTCATATGAAAGAGTTTATACTAATGATGGATATCATGATACAACCAAGAAACATTATGATTAGTTGATAATATTCGTTATGATTTTATGAAGGATTGCTGCGAAAGCAATCATTAACTCTAAAACTCTGTAGAATCGACCTTGTTGTCGTGAGAATTTTTAATTCATGAGGTATAGAGTGGGACTTATGTCATAGCAAGCAAAAACTGAAGTAAGTGCTTGGTTAAAAGTTGGCGTAACGGATTATGAAATGACTTATTATACTCATGACCATACTGACTTATTTTACTCATGACAATGAAATCAAAGATACTGATATCTTGGCAGCATTTTGAGTAACTCCTCAACTCAAAGTTTCATATGAGAAAGTAGTTGTTGCAATAGCTATTGAATCTTTTACCAGTACATGAACAACTACGTGGACCGATTGGCTTACCAGCCTTAATCATTGTAAGAAATATGCTACCACTTCGAGCCTCTTGCTAAAGAAGAAAATCATGATATATGTTATGTAGTTTACCCATTAGATCATTTGAGCAAGGCTTTGTTACTAATATGTTTATGTCCATAATAGATAACGTATTTGAATTCAAAGTCCTGCGCGCTCCTTGACCAGAGGATTTGCGAATCCCTTCTTCCATACGAAAACTTTCCAGGGCCCGCCTTGTGGCATCCAAGGTGAGAAAGATAAATTGAACAAGTGTGGCCACCCATGTGTATCGAGTCGAATCATTACGAAACTGCTTGATGCATCCTACTTGCCGGAAAGTGGTTCTTTGTTGGATGACCCAACAATGATAAGGATGTTGATACAGTAAAACGGATGCATTGTGACACCCGAAGGACTAATACGGAAGGGGAGGGAGATGATTGAGCGGTGCAAACATAACAGAGGTGGCCAAGCATATGTACTACTCCTTTTGGGGACGGCCAAGATTCTTGCACTACAGCGAGGACAGGATGGATGGGGGTGTACGTTGGCATAGCATGGGGTTTGGAGCACTGCAGCAGACTCCTCTCTCCTTTTCTTTTGGCATTTGGGTTGGTAATTGGACAAAGCATCTTTTGGTTTCACGGTGTTTCTCTTTTGGAATAAAGGCAAAGGGCAAGGGAGTGTACAGAAATGAACAAGGCATTTCTGGTCGTGGTTTGCACAAACGGGGGCAACAGGAAAACTTGGAGAGGCAGACACGTGCAGCAATGCAAAGAGATTCTTCCAGATTGATTAAAAGATAAGAGTCCTTCTCAATGCAAAAGAGATTCTACATCTTTGCGGCACGAAAGGCGGGAAGGAATATAATAAAGTTACAGGCACAAATAGGGTAAATCTTTGCATGGGCATAGTCTCTTGCAAAGGAAATGAACGAGCATCATTTCATGTTTCTATATATGGATTGGCATAGAATTTCATGTTGCTCTCCTAGTGGCATGATTTCACAATGGAATCACTTGACTCGTCTGAGAAAAATGCCAACTTGTTGTCAAAGAACTGGTTAGATAGAAAACAAAATTTACATAGTTATATATGTAACTCTAGAATTAATAACGTGGAACCGGTTATAGTAAAGAAAACGTGGTAAAAAAAAACGACAAACTTGGCGCAAACAAACTAAATGGTTGCGCTGCAAATCTTAATACATATTTAAAGGTGGCTCGAGAGATGGGAAAACATCGGTTTCTTGAGATCCAAAGCTTCTTCAAATGGATGTTTGGGACACGAAGGACTCGAAGGGAAATTCCTAACAAGTACTCATGTAAGTTCCCGACTCTACACAAGATGTATTCGGGTTACTAAAAAATCCTCTCTTTTTTTATTGAAGTTTTAGCTAGTGATAAGAAGATAAAAAAGCATTCTTAGTTCAATTTGGTTGAACGTGGGGGTCTTCAAAACCCGATTTTGTAGGTTCAAATCCTATCGAACGTGATTCCAGTATGGTTAGGTTAGTTTGAAAATTATACTTAAATAATTGAACAGTGATCTTAATTTGAACTCTTTTGAAATAAAGAAAAGAGAAGGTCAATTAAAGAAAAAACATGATCAAAGGTCCAACTAATCTCAGGAGGCTAGACCCGAGTCCAGGGCCAGGGTCTTGAATTTGAGCATCGAGAACCATGTGGGCCGAACTCAAGTTCGAGGTTGAGTTATGCTCGGGCACCGGGGTCACGAGTCGGGCCAAGGTTCCAAGTGGAGAGCTGAGAGATCCAGTCTGGCCTCTAGACGCGACGGTCTCGTGTTCGTCCCACGGTGGTGTATGTTTGGGCGTTAGAGACTAGGATCCGAGCGTTGGGCTCTAGGGTTTAGGTGTGCAAAACCAGGTATGAGCCCAAGAGGCTTGGGTTTGACCTAAAGGACCGAGGCCCATGCGCCGGGGCCTTCGATCCAAGCTTTGGGGTCTCAGGTTTGGCCCCTCGGGTCTTAGATCCAAGCATTGGAAACCTCGGGGGCCAAACCCAAGTCTTGGACCGATGTAACACCCCGGGTCTACACTGTGTAATATTGTCCGCTTGGGCCCACCGACCCCACCTTAAACGCTTACAACGAAACCAAGCCTTATAAACTACCCGACTCCACAGCATGCCCTTGCCACCGAGCCGCTCCTTGTCCGGGCTCGACCACCCCAAGTCGGGTTGGGTACAACCGAGGTCTCGAATTAGGAGTCGAGGGCTCTAGTTTGGGTCGAGCTCTATGATGTCGTGTTTGGACCCTCGGTTCTAGGGACCAGCGTCTCGAGTCCTCTCCTGGGGTCACTGGTTCGAATGATATAGATGGTCGTGGTATTGGTAAAGGTTAGAGTTGGCCTCCGGAAACGAAATATGGTTATTAAAAAGGACAAATCATTTTCTTGTATTTAAGTATAGATTTTTGAGCATTGCTAGCATTACGCACCGTTACTCTTTATTGGTAACGGTGCAACCATGGCTGCACATTTCGTTTCATGGAAGGGTGGGCCACCAGTTGGAAAGGTAGTTGCGATATACAAAGAAAAGTGTCAAAAAAGTCCTAAACCTTTTACATTTGTGCCAATTTAGTCCTAAACTTTTTTTTGGTGCCAATTCAGTCCTAAATTTATGCATTTGTGCAAATTTAGTCCTAAACCTTTTTTTGATGCCAATTCAGTCTTAAACCTTTTGTATTGGTGTTAATTCAGTTCTAAACCTTTTACATTGGTGCCAATTCAGTCCGAAACCTTTTTTTGGTGCCAATCCAGTCCTAAACCTTTTGCATTTGTGTCAATTCAGTCCTTCCGGCTAATAGCTATTCACGTGTCGAAGGACTGAATTGGCACAAATGCAAAAGATTTAGGACTGAATTGGCACAAATGCAAAAGGTTTAGGAGTGAATTGGCACCAACAAAAGGTTTATGACTAAATTGGCACTAATACAAAAGGTTTAGGACTGAATTGGTACAATTGTAAAATATTTAGGACTGAATTGGTACCAAAAAAAGGTTTAGGACTCAATTGGCACCAATGTAAAAAGTTTAGGACTAATTGATACAGAAAAATATTTAGAACTAAATTTATATTAATACAAAAGGTTTAGGATTTTTCTGACACTTTTCCCGCGATGTACATGTATACAATCACTCAAGCAAAAAAGATAAATACATTGGAAACCGGATAAGGGAGTTTCCAAATTTCCAGCATTAAATAAGAGGTGGATGAGGCTCCATCAATCTTGCAAGGCTAAACGAGCCATTATCTACTATTTTCCCTCGATTTTTCTCGACTAAGAAAAGATTTCCCATCTCACCGTTTTTCGAAGCGATCCCAACCGCTATACAAAGGAAAAATGTTTTGAAACACTTGAATTCTCGTGAAATAAATAAGGTCTCAGCATGTAAACTTTAGTTAATGAGTTAGAGTCGAAACTCAAGCGAACCAAAAACTTAAATAGGGTCGAGCTCAAACTTGAAAACACTCCCTCCAGTGAACGCACGACATTCGATTTGGGCGATCGCTTTGCCTTTTGTGTGGGCTCATCCCTACGCTTTATCTCAAGCGTCGCAAAAATACCGTGAAACGGACCGCCCTATCTCTCTCTCCCCTAAAAGCGAGGGTCAGGATCGTCTTCAAAAGGATGGCGGAAAGGGAACCACGTGTTGGGCGGATGCTGGTATTTCTCTTTCTGCGGAGCCTACAGGAGCCCGTTTTGCCCTTTATGCCTTTTGATGCCCTATGCACGGGCTTATAGATTACACAGTTCCATGAGCTCACTCGCATGTGTAGTCCCTCCCTCAGTTTTCGCATGTATGTCTCTTGTCTCTAGTCCTTTGCTAACCAAATTTATCCATAAAGGCCAAAGCGTGTGCGTTCAAAGAGGTTTCTTTCTAGACTGCAAAACTTTGTGTTTTGGCGTGGCTTGATCATCTCGATCTGCATTTTCCTGCGGTGGTCAAGTCGCGTGATCGGCGACGTGGGTGGACATGTTCGTGGCGAGCGTGAACATGTCCGTGAGCTACGGCTCGAAGCACGTCGCCGATGGCTGCGGCATCGAGCCCTCCATCGCGGTCAATGCCCCCAAAGCCAGCACCTCCAGCCACCCCAACGAGCTCTACGCCTCGGAACTGTCGCCAGTGTCCATCCGTATTGCCGGTAGCCGCATTCCGGAGGATAGGTTATTATATGGACCTGGTGCATGCATTCTCGTGGACCAAGTACGGCGGGACCAAGAAAATGTGATGAGAATGCATGAACCAGGTCCATGCAATAACGAATTCTCATTCAGGAGGGAGTGTTGATCGCCTGTTTGCATGGCGTGGTCTGACAGTGTGTTTGGAGAGACGGGGGAACAGCCATGGGGAAAATATTAACTTCGAAACTAATCAAATGCATGTGAATCATTTGAGGAGTCATTTTCATGATCCTTTTACTTTTTGCGCAGGCGATGACGGATCCGGATGCACCGAGTCCCAGGGAGCCAAGCATGCGAGAGTGGATTTGCTGGTGTTTCGACTCGCTCCCATTGAAAAGACACCCACATGCAACAAGAATTTCGAGAGTGCTTGCAGTGAAGTATTTTTCATTTCATAGTTCGAACAAGTGTGTCGGAGGACCAAACCCCACAAAGCAAAGTCACAAGTGCTGATTACGTTGTCATCGGTCCTTGCCTTCTTCGTTCTTACTTGCCATTCGACTGACTTCTTTTTTACTTCTAATGTAATGGGTCGTTGTATATAAAAATGATGAGAAACTTAGCATTATGCACTTGATTTCTAAAGAGTCTTTTGTTTTGTTCAAAGTCTGTACACTTTCGACATGCATTCTAATGAGATTTTATGTAAGCCGGCAAGATTAGATTAATTGAACAATCTCTGCTTTTAAGGCTCCGTTTATTTCGTGAAAAATGTGACATTTCTGGAAAATATTTTTCGGAAAGTCATTTTTCAATAAAATGACAATATTTTCCGATGTTTGGTTAAGACCTGAAAATCAACTTGAAAATATTTTCCGTTGTTTTGTAAGGAAAATCTCATTTGATTTTCCTAAATAGATATTGACACATAATTTCTAGTGATGCTTCATTAAAAAAAGAAAAAAAAGAAAACTCGGGATTTGGGTTTCCGATCATGACGGAGTCCATTTCTTGAACAAAAAGTGTCGTTTTTCAATTCTATTTGTGGATTTAGCTTCTATAAACAATTTTCTATTCATTTCACACGAAAATCCGAAAAGTCATACGGTTGACTTTTTGGTCAACTCTTTGACCAAAAGTCAACCCCGGTCAAATTGGGGCTTTTCATACAAAAAGATTTCTTTTGAGTTTAATTTCACTTTAAAAGTGAAAATTTCAAAAAATTTCAAAGATTTGATCACAAAATCAAACTCCTAGTGAAAAGTCAACCAGGGTTTGACCAAAAAAATTTAGAAAATACAAAAATTCCAAAATCATCTTATTTTACATTCAATTTGACTTTAGCATTTGAAATTTTGCAAAAATCAGTTTAGAATCAATTTTTCCCCAATTTGCGGAATTTGGTTCAAATCGGCCAAAAATGAAATTACTTCATTTCTAGTCTTTTTTAGGTTAGTTTCCTTCACGACATTTGATTTACAGGTTGTATTACATTCAATTTTGGAACCAATTTTGTAATTCCAAGCCAAGCGCAAAAACCCCCCAATTTAGGCTCTAATAAATGATTTTGATCAATTCTTCATGATTTGCGCAATTAAGACATGAATGAGGCTAATTTCTTATATGAAATCCAAATTCGAAATCAATTTTGGAATATTCACATGAATTTGAGCCAATATGATCAATTTAGTGATCCAATGATTGAGAAATCTAAGAGTAATTGATCCAATTAGTGCAATTCAACTTACCCATTCTAGACTAACATCGAATTTGATGAATTGAGGCTCAATTTGGCTAATTGGACATCAATTAAATTCGTTAGTTTAGTTTGGCCATGCAATTTAACTCAAATCAAAGAACAATTGAGCTAAACAAGTTAAATTGGATCAATTTATGCGTGAATTTCAAATTGGTTCAATCCAATTTAATCGAATTCAATATTAATTAGGTCAATCAATCATGATAGGGATTAAATTACACAAAATTAGAACAAATTGGGCTGAGAAATGAACCAGTTCAACCCGATCAAACTCGGGTTAAACCGGTCCAACCGGTTCAACCTGGTTTGACCCGAATTGAACCAGTCTGATCGGACCGGCCATTTTTCGATCGAAAATCCGGCGGCCGGCTGTCCATTCTGATTAGCCAAGGTCGACCACATCCCTTTGAGCCCAGAATGACAAAAAAATGCCCTTAAATGAAAATTACAAAAATGCCCCTAAGTGAAATTACTAAAATGCCCTTCCTTAAGGATTAAGCAAATTACTTAGGGGGTAAGCAAATTAACCATGACCATTCATTTAGAATTGATCATGGCCATCCATAATGCCATGTCACATATTCTTAGCCCTTAAGGAATATTCTTAATCACTAAGAATCCATTCTAGGCCATTAGATCGATTTAAGGGTTAGGATTCAAAATTGGAGGGATATATAAGCTTTTTCCCTTCAAAATTGGAGGGGGACTCTCATTTTTCCAGATCTGTTTTCTCTCTCATCTCTCTCCCTCTCTCTCAATCTCACGTTCTCTCCCTTTCCTCTCTTGGCCGTGAGCTTTCCTTGCTCACACCGACCACTTGCCGTCCGATTTCCGGCACACCGCTGCCACTCCGGCATCCCTCCGGACGTCCTAGAGCCAGTCGCAAGGCTGGCCACAGTTGCTGGTAGCTGGAGCACCTCCGATCAGCTCCATCTTTCTCTCGGTTACATCACGGGCAACCGAGCCAGTGATTGATCCAGCCGGCTTCCATGGTGATTCCGGCATCCCGGCGTTCTTCCTAGACGGTCTGAGGCTTGCGATCAGCATCCTCAACTTCATCTCGAAGCTGTGGTGGCCGGTTTCCACCGGAGGAGCCACCGGAGTTCCACTTTAAGCTTGATTTTACTTCTTATTCGTTGGATCGCAATCTCAAGTTGATTTTCTTTCCTTGTGACGTAGATATTGGGAGCTATATTTGGCGCCATTCTGGAGATCATTGGTGGCCAAAATAGCTCATTTGAGCTCAGCAACATCATTGAACAAGGTAGGTATACTTAGATCTTATCCTGTGAAATCGTGCACAGAGAGGTCTGCATGCTTAAAATGTTGATTTCATCTCGTAAATGTCAAAATCTGAAGAAGTGATCAATTAGAGAATCGTAGGATATGTCGAGAGCTTCGATTTGATATATTATATGCCTCAATTGGACTTCGTTTGCTAGGTCAAAACTCCTTCGAAAGCCGAGATCAGAATCTGGAATGATAATGTTGTGTCCTATTCTTCTGTGATACTGAATGGCCTTGTTCGGTTGAATGATTTTCTGATTTTTTGTGTTCATTATTTGAGAAAACTTCCTTCATGAAAGTTGTCGAGCACATCCAGATTTGTTCACTATAAAAATTTCATAAAATTCCAAGCATGTTAGGTTAGGACGATTAGCAACGTCAGCTAGGCATAGTTATGGTGACAGATGAGTTTCTGAATGACCTTCATGTGTTCTTCGATTGTTATAAATTTGTGGGAGAAGAACACTAGAAGTGCCAAAACTTGTGTACAGCGCTCACTTTAGTGCCAAAAGTTTTCGCCGTTGCCACGTCGGATTTCCGGCCAAACTGATCGGAGTTGGCACTTAAGTGATCGTTTTTCAAAAATTTTGGCACTAAAGTGATCCAAAAGAAACTTTTGGCACTAAAGTGAGCGCCGTACACAAGTTTTGGCACTTCTGCTGTTCTTCTCCCTAAATTTGTGTATTCAAAATCTGGGAAAATGTCCTTCATAAAAGTTCACACTGAGATCGAGATCTTTCTAGTGACACAAATTTTATAAAAATCGGAGTTCACTTGTATTTTCAAAGGAATTTTTATGATTTAGTCAATATCTGTGTTCTGATCTGATTTTCCTTTCTTTGAAATCCAAAATATGTTTTTCCGAATATGATAAACTTTGAGTCCTCTTTTATGAAAACTCAAGACTAAAAAGTTGTTCATTAGGGCCTTATTATGTAGACTGAAAATTTTGAGGGCCTAATAGCAATTTTTATGGGGTCAATTTGCTAAAAATCTCAGATAAGGTCCTCTCGAGCTTAAACTTGATTTGCAAACAAGTCCTTGGTGAAAACAGAATTTTACAAAAATTTGGAGGGCTTTTCAGAAAAAAATCAAAACATGAAAACTGTCACACACGGAGAATTCTAATTGCATTAAAATCTTGGCGGGATTTTGATGATGGCCACTATTTTTCCCTTAATTTTTTTTGAATTCAAATTCAAACCGAGTCCAGACTGTCACAGAGGGTAGAATTGTCTTTTTCGTGAAAATCGGTGGGGAACTAGAAAAAGTGGTATTCTTGACTTTTTATCCTCATGACATAAGCTTTCTAATGACACATGAATCACTTCATTTTGATATCATTAGGTTGATTAATCATACTCAAACAGAATGGGTCCGAATTTAGTAACTAATGATTGATTGAGTGGTCCTCTTATGAGGCCCACTTCCCATTGCTTGATTGGTTAAGAAACAAGGTCCATAGGCCTGAATGCATGCTTTACTCATTGATACGCATGTGTTTGTTAGATGTATGTTAGGCCCGGCGCATGTTCGGCGGGTAGCCCATTATGGTCACTTAGAACCCGACTTTAGGGATTAATCGATATGAGTTGCCGTTTTGTGAATGCAAATGGTAGCCCGTTATCATTAACCATTAATCAAATAATGTTAGATGATTAAGTGGGTGGGTGAATCGAAATGCATGTAAAGCAAAGACTGATCTCGAGGCCCATATTTGATTAGTGAATTGTTTGCATCATTACCTTTCTTTGGTTGTTCCTTTGTGCAATGTTTGTCGTGAGTGTATCTTATGGATATAAACACTGACACCCGAGAGGCGGTCCATGGAGGGGATAGTCCAAAATTGTAAAAGACCAAGGCGATAGACCAATGTCCAATCCGGTCTTAATTTGTATTCACTTGACGGTGGTGATAGACCGATGTCCAATCCGGTCTCAATTGCTATTCAATTCATTCGTTCCCCATCATGTCTCGGGTTTTCAATTTATGTTGTAATAAAAACCCGACGAGTTGCGGGTTTTTCTTTCTCGCATTTAGAATTAGCTAGTCCTTTTAATACTTTGAGTGTTTACTTTGCGCAATGCTTTTCAATACAATTGTTTATTTCTTTCCTTTCTAGACTAAGATATGATTAGTTTAGAATCTTAAATGAAATCACAAAAACAAAATGCATGATCACCTAGTGGACTAAGACTTTGGCATGAAAAATGGTAAAAAATAAATGCATGATAATTTAGATAACAGCCATGTTAAGTTTAGCGATACCGAAAGAGCGTTAATAGAAATATTAACGTAAGCTAGTCCCCGAACTCATGATCTCTGATTTTCATAGAAACCGAAACGAAACTCCCGCATTTCGGTTATATATTCTAGCTGACCCTCGACCTAAGCTAGTGGTGACTCCTAAAAAAAAAAAAATCAATCCGTTGTCACGCGATGTATGGATTTAGGGAAAATCCACGTTCATGATCAAATGGACCATATGGATGACTAAAAGATTGATACTTTGGTAAGCCGTCTTTTATGATGTGCCAAATGGACCGTATGGATGACCAAAAGATCAACGCTTTGGTAATCCG